GTTGTTGTTGTTGCCACCTCAACTATATTAGAATAATAAATTCTTATGTCAAGAGCTGAGACAGTGTAATAAAGACTGACCTGCACTTAAATAAACAAATAAAAAATTGAATAATTGTTGTTTTATTCTTTCTTTTGTGGGTTTAATAATTACATATTTTTATTCTAGAACCATCCTCGTTACCCTGAAGAAAAATTAATAATTTGACACCTAATGATTTGCTTTTGCTAAAATTGATTGTTTTATCTCCTGTCTCAGCATCTGACTCTGCTGAAATGTGAAAATGAAATGACTGTAGCTTTAATCTCTAAACCTAATCCACACATCATCCGGGGTGTTGTAACAGAACTGGACACACATCCAGAGAAACCTGATCGGGGTCTGCTGGTGTAGGAGCAGCAGCGCCCCCTGCTGGTGAGCCCTCTTTCCTCCGATCTGCAGCCGCAGCAGCAGCAGCAGCAGCGTCTCTCTCCTGTCACCACTCCGGGACTGCCTGTCCTCAGAGAGGCAGTGTTTACATCAACAAGCCGTCACACAGGAAGGTCCACGACCCGCAGCCAACATGGTGAGACCAAAAACCGCCCGTGTCTGTGGGTTTTTAGCTGATTTGCAGCGGCCGGAGAGAGGCGTGCTGTCCAGCCCGCCGCACCGAATCACCTTCATGCGCGCGCGTGTAACGGTGTCAGAGCAACAAGCTGGCCCGTGGATGGAGCCTGTCAGGTGTGGGGGGGGTAGATGCCGACGCTCCGTGGTGTTATGTGACCGGATAAGGGTTCAGGCTCTGCTCCGGTTTGAACATACGCAGCAGGGCTGTGGCCTCATTTTTTTTTTTTTTTTTTTCCTGCAGGCCCGCTCTGCCTCTGTGACATTCACCGCAAAGCCTTTAATATTAAGGTGCCGGGAGAAAAGCGCATCCTAATGTTATTAAAGCGTATAAAATAGCAGCATACAGGGCTGACTTATGTGATCAAACAGCCTTCTATAGTTCACATCCGATTACTGGAGGTTGCGTCATTCCCTTTAATTTAAATCTAAACTTAGACAGAGGCCCACTGCAGCGCGTCACCTGCAGAAATCTGCTGCTCTACATTTCATTAGTTATTATCAACATATAGCAGGRTTTAGTTGTCCTAATAAATCCGTGGATTTTCCGTCTTTGTTGCATTTCTTGGTGGAGTTGGGTCTAACATGCATGGGATCATTGATAACATTCAGTATTTTTGTAGTGACAGTGGGTGTCATGGGATTATCTTAAGGTTAGGGGTGTTCATATAGAATATCAAATAAATTAAATGAATTATATATATATATATAATATAGCATTTTTGGGGTTAGTCAGGATCTATAGGTTTGCAATCATATTAATCTGCATTTTTTTAGTACGTTTGGAGTTTTCATAACAATGTTTTCACACAGATATACAAAACAGGGTTATATATCATTCATCCATCTGTTTTTTATTTCATTTTTCTGATATATCAGATTTTAAAAACTCATTGGAGTCTAAACATATTCACTAATTAGTTTTTTTTATTATTTTGTGTTTGGTAATTTTTTTATTTGGACATGCATGTCACCTGTACACCAGGTTCTGAAGCATCCTCCACTCCTCTTCCTACGACCTCAGAGTATCTACGATCTATAATAATTTTTCCATTGCCTGTAACCAGAGGCAGGCTTTGTCATTTTGTATCCCAAATATTTGTGTTTACTGCTGCATCTAAGTCTTTTCTATTTTCTTAGAATTTCATCTTTTTTGTCACGTTTAAAAGGAAAGTGAGCTTCACCTGAAGCTGTGGATGATTGCTCTTTTCTGTGACAGATTGGGCAAAGGTATGTTCAGCCAACCTTTCATGCTGTCTAAAGAGCTAAAATGGCTGAAGGCTGGAAAAAAAATCCAATTATTTAATCCAAACTCTCTTAGCTGAGCACCGTTTTCTGATTTCCTAAAACGCAACAATAAAAGCGCATATTACTGTAATTTCTTATGTTAAATGACATAAGATGTGTTATTTTTATCTGCTTTTATTTGCATGTTAGAGCTATTTTGCACATATCAAGCAACAAAAGGAAATCCAGTCAGTTGTTTGTTTGTTTTTTGGTGTTTTGTAGAAAGTTTAGAATGGTCTATATTATGTCATCTGATAAAGTCACATGATTTTTTTTCTGATTCAGCATGTGAACGGTGGATCATAATTTTCTGATTTGTTGCTTCAGCCGATAAGTGAAGTCTTCCCCCCTGTGCCCACCCTCCTCCCCGCCTAGATTCAGTTTCAGACATGTCTTTCTATTTATAGCTCTGCTTGGACAACTGTCCTGATGACACAAATAGACGCGTGTGAGGAATAACGCAGACCCCAGTTTTAAATGAACTCCCTCACGTTGCTTCTGCCCCCAACAGGTGAACTTCACTGTGGATCAGATCCGTGCCATCATGGACAAGAAGTCCAACATCAGAAACATGTCGGTGATCGCCCACGTGGACCACGGGAAGTCCACGCTGACCGACTCGCTGGTGTCCAAGGCGGGGATCATCGCCTCGGCCCGGGCTGGAGAAACCCGCTTCACAGACACACGCAAAGATGAGCAGGAGCGCTGCATCACCATAAAATCCACGTACGTGGCTCCAGGAGCAGGGCCAGGACAGCACAGCTCTTTATTTGTTGAGCAATCTGTCAGAAATCATCAAAACACGTCTTCAAATCACAAACACTCCTCTTTAACCTAAATAATAATTTAAAAAATAGGTACTAAATCTAAAAAAAAACCCAAATAATCTGCTTATTCAGCAGCATCTGAGTGTAGTTTTTAGATAGTTAACATCTTGACTCTTATTCTACTTTAAATTATTACACCTAAAACAAAATAAGCCTTCACCTTTCAAACATTTTTATTGTGGTAATTAATTCAGCTTCTGAATGATGTTTATCAAATTAAAGTTATGAATAAAAATAGCACCTTATATTTACATTAATATAACCTAAGAATTTTTGTCAATTAATTCCAGTTCTGCATATAAAAGGAAATTGAGTCCAGTCATTTCAACTTTAAATTTTATTAAAAACAACTTGTTTTAAACAAGTTATCAGATGTTGAAACCAAATATGTACCAATTAAAAAAACTGTGTGTGTGTGTTATCAGCAGCACATTTCAAAACGTTGGCAGAGGGGCGTGTTTACCACTCTGAGTTGCATCATCATCGCTTCTATTAATAACCAGCAGCTGTTAATAGAGCTGGTGTTATAGGTTTAAAAGTGAATCCTTTTTGCTGAAAATGGGATTTAATCAGGTAAACATTTATTTATCTTGATATCTTTTGTTTGTAATGCACCAAATATGTTCACTGTTAGAAAGTAGGCCAGTAGCCTGGAACACCTGCAGAATTGTGTTGCTGAAAAAATGGAAACTATCCTGAAGGAAAAAAAAAGAAACCTTCTGGATCAGTGTTTTTTGTCTTAAGCGCTGTAAAAGTAAAGTAAATATTTATGCCCATCCACTGTATGATTATTATTATGAAGCTGTAAAGAGGAAGCATGAGAGGAGCTGCAGAAATCTAATTAACTTTAATAAAATACTATATTAGCGTATTTAGCTGTAACTGTTACAAAGAGATTAAAAAATTATAAGGAAGTGATAAATATAATAAAACGATTGACACAGCTGACTTATCAGACCAGAGTAATCAGTCATGAATTTTTCCAGCTTGTGGATTAAAAGCTGAGAAGCGTTGGATTCCCAGCGCTCCCAGCATCCATCATGGGTAACGGAAAATAAAAGTCTGATTATTGGCACCACTGAACTCTGTGTGTCACCTCAGGTTGTCCTAAATCACTTTGRGATCAGGGAATATGGTGGAATTTATAAAACAATAGAATAAAATGTTGTTTTGTCTGCTCCCGTACACAGAGGTCACCACACTGAGCAAAACTATTTAAACATTTAAGCTGGATGCTCTTCTTGGCATAATTTGGGCTCAAACCTGCAGACCTGACCACAGCTACCATAGACCCATAATACTGGGGATCATGGGAACTTGGTCCCCAGTATTATGGGACTAATATGATATAATTTAACTTTTAAAAAACAACTTTTCTTTCACTTCTTCTTACAGAGCAGTGATTTTTTTAACTTCTCAAAGATAGATTCTCTGAACTCTTTAATATTCAATCACATTGCTAATTTTTGTTTGTAAAACTAATGTTAACGTGAATTAAACCCTTTCCAACCCCTTTCTTGGTATAAATTGCCTATAGTTTGTTTTAAAATTAGCATGCGTTGTCAAAAGTAGAGACATAAGTACAGTTTCTATTCTAATCAGTTTAAACTTAATATTAGAAATCATTAATACTTCATAAATGCAGCTTTTATTTATATTGACAGATTACTAAAGCATGAGTTTAGCTTTATTTTCTGATTGTTCACAGAGCTACAACCACTTAATGCATTTTATTATGGATTAGTGTTGGTAAGAGAACCACATGAGACAATCCTCTTGCTATGTTTATTTACTTAACCTCCTAACATTGGAAATGTTTACAGAAAACACCAGATTTGTCTGATAACGTTAGCTTTACAAACATTTATCCTAAGTAATTTCACTGAATATTTGCTCCCAATTATGCACGTTCTTTTGTAACTCATGTGGAAGATTTCTGGCTGATGATAAGTAAATTTGGTGCATGGAGTCATTTTAGTGTCTTTACAGTTTTATAGCTGAGAACAAACCTAAATRTACAATATGTCTGTGTCTGCCACTCAAGGGCCATCTCCTTGTATTACGAGCTCGGAGACAACGACTTGGCCTTCATCAAGCAGACTAAAGACGGAAACGGCTTCCTCATCAACCTGATCGATTCTCCGGGTCACGTTGATTTCTCCTCGGAGGTCACCGCCGCCCTCAGAGTAACCGACGGCGCTCTGGTGGTTGTCGACTGCGTCTCAGGTCATTTCGTCACATCTAACACCCTCAGAAACATTGTTCTTTTTTTTATTTTTTAACAAGGCTCAATCAGTTTTCTCTTGACAGGTGTGTGCGTGCAGACCGAGACCGTGCTGCGGCAGGCCATCGCCGAGCGCATCAAGCCCGTCCTGATGATGAACAAGATGGACCGGGCCCTGCTGGAGCTGCAGCTGGAGACCGACGAGCTTTACCAGACGTTTCAGCGTATTGTTGAGAACGTCAACGTTATTATCTCCACCTACGGAGAAGATGAGGGTGGACCCATGGGGAACATTATGGTGAAGCACAAATACTAAACGGATTCAGAAAGATCAATTAACACGTGATGACCTTGTTTTAATTGTGAGTCCGTTCTCCTCAGATCGACCCCGTCATTGGTACCGTTGGCTTCGGCTCGGGCCTCCACGGCTGGGCTTTTACTTTGAAACAGTTTGCTGAGATGTATGTGGCTAAGTTCACAGCTAAAGGCGTGGCTCAGCTGGGACCAGCGGAGAGGTGTAAGAAGGTGGAGGACATGATGAAGAAGCTGTGGGGAGACAGGTGAGCATTACTGCAGATAAACACAGCCAATCCATACATTATTTACTTCACACTAAGCTACTGCAAATACATTAGGCTGCCAGTTTACTGAAGGCTGAATTAAGTAGGGGACTACTCAACAGTTCCTTATTTTTGAACAATGGGCCTCATGCAAGAACATGTTCGTATTCTTATTGTTGCAGCTTGAAGACATCAGTCGACGAATGGAGTAGTTTTTATCCAAACATTTATTTTC